TGTTCACTAAAATATTCCTTTAGTAGAAAAGATAGAAAATCTGCCTGGAAATTTTGAAAATGTTGAAAATTCACAATTTCCAGGTTGTGCCTCCAACCCCCAGGCTCATACAGGCCTAGGAGGATCCTAGGAGCCTGCATTTGACAAGCCCAAGCTGATCTCATGCTCAGGTCAGCCTGGGAATGCCACTGGTACTAGGTTGTTGGATTTTAGCCATCTGCTCTCCCCAGGGTCCTCTGGCATCACAGTGATATCTAATTTGCTGCACATCATCCAAGGCAGAGGCCAGCAATTGTGTCCCGAGTGAATTATGAGGGCAATTGCCAATCATGCAGGAGCTGATTATATTAAGGGCAACACTGTACTGTAACCAAAGTCCCAACCTCAGAGAAGTTTGAAGCCTGTTACCATAAACACGAAACTAAGACACATAAAACACTCTTTCATATGGTTTTCAGGCTTTATCTCTTTTCTTGTTAAGCAACACCGGCAGGAAAGAAAGGTACCACAACTAAAACGTCACTACAACAAAATCCATGATACACCAAAATTACATAAACGTTACTAGATGTCACAACTCTAATTTCCTTTTTTTCTTTTTCTTTTGAGATGGAGTTTTGCTTTTGTTGCCCAGGCTGGAGTGCAACGACACCATCTTGGCCCACTGCAACTTCTGCCTCCAGGTTCACCAGATTTTCCTGCCTCAGCCTCCTGAGTAGCTGGGATTAAGGCGGCCGCCACCACGCCCAGCTAATTTTTTGTATTTTTAGTAGAGACAGGTTTCACCATGTTGGCCAGGCTGGTTTCAAACTCCTGACCTCAGGTGATCCACCTGCCTTGGCCTCCAAAAATGCTGGGATTACAGGCATGAGCCACCGCGCCCGGCCTCAACTCTAATTTTCAAAGGCTAAAGGTAAAAAGATAATGGCTCCTAAACCCCACTAAAATATCAGAAAATGTCTTTTGTCTTTGATTTATTTTCTTTTCTTGAATATAGGCAATCTATTTTCCTCCCGGCCCCTCTCTCCATATCCCTCCTCCCTGATTTCTTTTTTTGTTCTTGTTGTTTGAGGAATCAATCCACGTGGACAGGGAGAAGGGGAGGGGAGAACAGGCACCAAAATTCTGCTGGTTGGGAAAAAGAAGATGGGTGAATGTGGGGACATGGAGAGAACACGGACACGGGTGGACAGTGGAACGGCCCATTTATACCTAGACAGAGTCAAGAACTGGCCAGGCCTGGCGCATCTGCAATGGGTGTGGAGGCAGCAGAGACAGGAAGTCTGATTTTCAAAGATATCTAAGAAGCAGGACAACTTCCAGCTCCTGTCCCGCCCTAGGAGAAGACAGGTGGCTCCATCTCTGAAGAGGGTGGAATCAGGGTCTCTGACAGGAGAGCCCAGATCCCCCAGGGACAATCAGGTTACTGATTAGGCTGCAGCCCTCGCTCACTGGGCTCCAGGAGGCAGGCAGCCAAGCCTCCCCTTCCTGCAGGGACCAGGGAGAGTCTTGTGACAACAGCCCGGGAGGACCGACCCACAGCACTGAGATCAGAAGGCCCCAACAAGGAAAGGTTCAGCTCACAGCAGGCATTGCCCATCCCTGCCGAGTCCCCCACTATTAAACATGGGCAGGCCATCCGAGGAGAGCCTCACACAGAAACGGGAAGGCAGCCTAGAGGAAAGAGATCCTTCAGCAACGAGAAAAGAAAACAAAATTTTTAAAAATCAAGAGAATATACCATGAACTGAAGACCATGTTTTAGTTTTTTAAAAAAAGTTGACAGAACAAAAAAGAACTCTTATACGTGAAAAAAGTATGGCAAAAATAAAATGTAAAAAAATCACTAGAAGAGTCCAAATACGAAAATGAGGAGGCTTCCCAAAAATGCAACAACCTTAAAATGGTAGAAAATAGAAAATAAGAGGATTGGTCTGGCAATCCTTTATCAGAATAGTAGTAGTTCCAGAAAGAGAGAAAATAGAAAATGGGAGGGGAGAAAATCACCACAGAATAATTCAAGAAAATTCCCAGAACTAAAGAATAAGTGTTTCCGGATTGCCAGGGCACAAAAATGCCCAACATGCTGGATAAAATATACCAAGGCACTGTGTATCTCAGAACACCATGGATGTATCAGTCAGGGCAGGCATTGTTAAGCTGCAGCAATGAGCAGCCCGAAAGCCCTCAGAGGCCTGAAACAACAAAGATTTATTCTTCAAGTTTATTTCAATCGAACAGGGTCACAGCATGGGTAGGAGGGGGTTCTGCAAGCTGAGTATCATCACCGTCAAGCTGAGTTCAGAATCAAACTAAAGGGAGCGAAAACTCTGGCAGCAACTTACACTCGCAGCGAAGTGCAGGCCCAGAAGTGGAAGTAGCACTTCCGCTCAGCTCCCGGGCAGGCCACTGGCACAGCAACCATGTGAGGCCATCAAGCTCAGGGAGTGAGGAAGGGAGGGCAATCCTACCAAGAGCCTGGGGGGCAGGGGGCTGGACATGTGTGGTGAACACTGATGACCAGGGATGAAAGGAAGACGCTACAATCTTCAGAAAGAGAAGGACTGGCTTGAAACTCTTCAACAATACTGGAGGCCAAAAAGGATTGGATCGATGCTTCAAAAATTCGAAAGGAAATTTTTTTGTATAATTCTATATTATCAATCTATCAGACATGAAGGCAGAAAGCATACTTATGGGTAAAGTCTCAAAATTCACCCCCCATCACATCCAAACCAGGGAGTGAAACAAGGGGGAGTCAGGAAGAGGAAGTCAGGAGACAGAAGCCCTGCAGCGGGCAGGTCCAGGCTGATGTGGGTGCAGGTGGTGAGGCTGGCAGCTCATCCCCAGATGCACACACAAGTTTCAGTAGAAGGTTCCAGGGCCCTTCTTCAGGTAGGGGTGCTGACAGAGGGGCATCCTGATGCCCGTGAACATCGTGGGGGAAGACGCGACAACTGGCAAAGAGTTTGCAGTGGGATCTGTCATACTACATAGAAAGCAAGCAAATTAGAACACCGGCCAATTATTCGCTGGAGAAAACAAAAAGTAACGTACAACATGACTCACTAGAACAGTATTTACATAGTCACGCTTGTAAACACTGCATGTTGATCTCCGTGAGATTATACCACATCTATAGAGGAGGGTAGAGAGCATGCACGGGGGCAAAGAGAAGAAAAAAATCATCTCCCAAAGAACAAAGTCACTAGGTAATATCTACAACTGAAAAATCAGGAAGCCAGGTGATTCAATGGCACAAAGATAAATACCAAAATAATCAGCTAAAAGAAATGAAGTGCCTAGGGGCTGGGTGCGGTGGCTCAAGCCTGCGAGAGGCCAAGGCCAACGGATCACCTGAGGTCAGGAGTTTGAGACCATCCTGACCAACCTGGAGAAACCGTCTCTACTAAAAATACAAAATTAACCAGGCATGGTGGCGCATGCCTGTAATTCCAGATACTCAGGAGGCTGAGGTAGGAGAATCACTTGAACCCGGGAGGCCAAGGTTGCAGTGAGCCGAAATCACACCATTGCAACCCAGCCTGGGCAGCAAAAGCAAAACTCTGTATCAAGAAAAAAAAAAAGGAGTAAAGTGCCTATTTCTGGGGAGAAGGAAATGGTGGCAGGGGATACTGTTTGGCTCCGCAGAAGCTACTTAACTTTTTACACTATATGCATGTTAAAAAAATAATACGTTAAAGGTTATTCAAGCCGAGTCTGCCCAGGAGATACCTAATAGGTTGGCCTGATTTTTGATTCAGTACAAAGGGTAGAAACTGAGTTCTTTCAATGAGCCATGAGCACTGCTATAAATGCTACAAGGGCTGAAACACATAAGACACAATCCCTGTCCTCAGAATCAGGATTTCATTGAGGAAAAAGCCAAAATATGAACGGGAAAGAACTCAAGTACAACGCAAGTTGGCAGGTGGTCAACCCCAAGACATGAAGAAGAGTTATGTGGTATCAAGGAGGAGACTCAGGGCCAGAGTAAGTAGCAAAGGCTTTGGGAAAGATGTAAGGAGCAGAAGGAGAAAGGCTAACAGAACTTGAGTTCTGTTCCCGAAACAGGGAGGGCATTTCTGCAACGGAGACTGGCTAACAGTGAGGGTGTAAAGAATTGGGAAGTATGGACAGTTTTTTCAAACAGTGGTGAGAGTTTACTTGTAACAGGGAGGACAAGATTATTAATTAGGAAAAGCAGAGATTAGAAAACACAGACATTACGGTTGAGGGACTACATTTTCAGCGTCCTTGGGTGTTATCAATCACAAGCCCTGTAACATATTTCCCTGCAGAGTGGCTCAGACTTAGCCTACTTGCTCCTTATTAACACTGCCTCCACCCTGTTTTAAACCCCTCATAGCTCAAATCACCCATGTCGTGGGCTGCACCCCAGGCCTGCCTGCCTGCTCTGGCCTCTGTCTGCCTGGGCAGCCTCATGGCTGTAATTTTGTTTTCACACTCCAACAATACCATCCTTCTTTGCATTCCTAGAATACTGCCTGCTCTTGGCTGCCGCAGGACCTCTGCACACACTGCTCCTCCTAGAACTCGCTCTCTCCTGTGACCTCCCTGTTAACTCCTACATAAGCCTTCCATTCTCAGCTCATTTTTTGATTCCTCAAGAAAACAAACACACCTGATTGCTCTCACTCAGGAGTTCCTGCCACAGTTCTCATTCATTCCTTTCCCTCACACCAGTTTGTAATATAACCTTCATTTCCAATTCATGCCCACCTCACCATCTCGGCCAGTGGGTCTCAAAGTGGGGTCAGGCCACAGCAACAGCATACAGAACAACCTATTAGTGATGCAGATTCTCAGGCCACATCCCAGACCAACTGAATCAGAATCTTGAGGAGGGAGACAAGCAGTCTGTGTTTTTAAAAAACCCCCTAGTGATTCTGATGCATGCTTAAGTCTGAGAACCAATGTGCCTGACTGTGGTATACGGTCTGTACCATCACAGCACAGACCAGGTGCTTTAGCACCCCATGGTGTCTCCTGGTGCCAAGTTCAGCAACAACAGTAAGGACTTGGTAAGATTTCCTGGTTAGATGAATAATAGGTTAAAAAAAACTTTCCGGCCAGGCACGGCGGCTCACGCCTGTAATCCCAGCACTTTGGGAGGCCGAGGCGGGCAGATCACGAGGTCAGGAGATCGAGACTATCCTGGCTAACATCGTGAAATCCCGTCTCTACTAAAAATACAAAACATTAGCCGAGTGTGGTGGCAGGCGCCTGTAGTCCCAGCTACTCGGGAGGCTGAGGCAGGAGAACTGTGTGAACCTGGGAGGTGGAGCTTGCAGTGAGCCGGGATCACCCCACTGCACTCCAGCCTGGGCAACAGAGCGAGACTCCATCTCAAAAAAAAAAAAAAAAAATCCATGACTCCATAACTCCCCTAGTTTATTAATTCTAAACCCTTGCGGCAACTTTAGAATACCCCCAAAATAAAATGGAAACTGCTGTCGGAAGACCTGGGTTCTAGCTCCTGCTCCTAGACCTTTCTGGGTTCAAATGTTGGCCTTCCTTCTCTTGCTGTGTGATCATCCGTAAATTTCCTAATCTCTCTTGGCCTTAACTTCCTCACCTCTAAAATAGGAATCATTATAGCACCGATTTCCCAGGGTTGCTGAATGATTCAGACAATGGCACTAAGAATCAAGACTCACACAGTTAAGCACTCAACAAATGAAGGTAGTATTACTGCCATAATAAATAGTTATTCAACTTTAAATGGTCTTTCCTCTTGGGTCTCAGCTTTCTTACTCAAGATTGACCACACACACTTCAGACTAGTTCTTCCTCCCTTGCAAAACTACTCACATCTAACACCCATTCGAGGCCTGAAACCTCCCCTAGCAACCCGGAGTCCTGCTGGGGTTTTCCAGCTCCACCTCCTGAACAGCTGGGCTCTAGCAGACAGGCTGGATTTACTCATACTTGCCTTCTTAGAGCTCAACTGAAGTCACTTCAGACAAGTGATTCCCCACTAACCTCGGGAATTAGATCTTGATAACTCAACAGGTTAGCAGGTGATTTCATTTCAGTGTGTCTCGGTGGCTAGCATTCAAACGCAGCTCACACTGGGAGCTATTTCCAGTCCAATTTCGGTACTTGGTGACGTATTAACAACAGCAATTAAAACATATGCCCAACGAATAGATCTTAAAAAGGACGATTTCTGACTTCCCTAATAAGCAGAGGGCCCACCACCTGCCCGCGAAGTGCCCCTCCTGCCCCGTCTCCAGGCAGCACGCTGTGAGTGATGACAGAAACTAGACCCGCGCACGGCGAAGCTGCAGGCACGCCCCGCCCGGCCACCGAACTGCCTG